ACCCCACCAATGGATTCCTCGTTCGGAGAGCAATCCATTGGTGGGGTCACACCTTCGGTTCGAGTCCCATTTTGCGACTCTGGAGCTCAAAACGCGTCTAAGAGTTTTGGCCGCCTCCACCGGTCTTCTGGCTCACTGTGAAACGCCCTGCCTTCTTTCTGTTACCCTTGCTAGCTTCGCCCTGCTTCGCCCTGCCTCGCCCAGCTTCGCCTCTCGAGGGGCAGTTTGTTTTCTTTGACCAGCTCGAGGCTTCCCTTACATGACACACAGTCCGCCTTTCCCCTTTGTCTGCAACCTGAATACGACCCTCGACACCCAACGTTGCGTTCTGGAAATATATTTGCGCACATGACGACAAGCCCTAAAGAAGATTTACACGCGGCTCTGTGCCCGGTGCCGGTCTGGGCGGGTACCTTGGCCCATGCCTGGGCCTGTGCCCTGCTTAGTCTCTACATGGACCTCTGCCTTGGCCTCTGCCCCCTTGGCCTCTGCCCCCTTGGCCTCTGCCCCTTTGGCCTCTGCCCCCTTGGCCTCTGCCTTGGCCTCTGCCCCCTTGGCCTCTGCCCCCTTGGCCTCTGCCCCTTTGGCCTCTGCCCCCTTGGCCTCTGCCTTGGCCTCTGCCCCCTTGGCCTCTGCCCCCTTGGCCTCTGCCCCCTTGGCCTCTGCCCCCTTGGCCTCTGCCCCCTTGGCCTCTGCCTTGGCCTCTGCCCCCTTGGCCTCTGCCCCCTTGGCCTCTGCCCCCTTGGCCTCTGCCCCCTTGGCCTCTGCCCCCTTGGCCTCTGCCCCCTTGGCCTCTGCCTCTTGGCCTCTGCCTCTTGGCCTCTGCCCCCTTGGCCTCTCCTCCCTGGCCTCTGCCCTGGCCTCTGTCTTGGCTTCTGCCTTGGCGCGACGAAAACGACTGTCGGAATCAGTCTGCTGCACCTACGGGCAGCCAGGACTTCTGGGAAGGGGCAGGCAAGCAGGCAGGATCAGGGCACGGGTTCGCCCGGCGGACGTGGAAGGGAAGGAGGGTTATAGGGTCGGGGCGGAGGCGGCGGGCAGTATTTCAGGACCACAGTTTCACCCCAAGGGTGAATGCCTTATTGCTCAGAGCTTTAAGGATGGAGACTTTACTTTCGGGTCTGTATTTTAACGGATCGGTGAGAGCGTCAGGATTTGAGGGATGGAATTTGGGGTCGGGATTTTAGGGAAGTGTTTTTTGGACCAGGGTTTTAGGGTCGGGGTGACAGGGTTGGGATGCGAGGGGGCGGGGTGCGTTAGAATTTGTCGTGATACCCCGGCAAGCGCCGCCACCAAGTCACTGTTGGCACCATTCGCCAGCTGTTGGAATACCAGATTCGCTTGACACGTTCCAAGGATGTCCTCCTAGGGGAAGCGTCCACAAATGACGTCACTGCGGGACCGGATACCGCCACACCGGGGTTGGGGTCCGACCTGGATTGACAAACCGCGGCACAGTGGGTCAGATGACCATTGGAGATGGCTAAAACTCCGGACGCGTTTTGAGGTCCAGAGTCGTTAAACAGGACTCGAAAGAAACGTGTGACCCCACCAATGGATTCCTCGTTCGGAGAGCAATCCATTGGTGGGGTCACACGTTCGGTTCGAGTCCCATTTAGCGACTCTGAAGCTCAAAACGCGTCCAGAATTTCGACCGCCTCCACCGGTCTTCTGGCCCACTGCACGCGGGTTTCCGGCAATGCACGTCTGTGAGTGCGCCAGGGTGCGGTCGCGTCGGAACACGTGATGGGATTGGCTGCGAATTGGATCAGCCTCGGGCTTGCACTGGCTTGGCTTGGCCACCTCCCCGGGTTCAAATTCCTGCGGCCGACGACACGAGACGAGATGACACCACTAAGAGCCGTGATAACTTGAATGGCCCGGCCCGACTCGGGCCGGGTCGGGTCGGTCCGGCTCGGCCCGGCTCGGCTCGGCACGGCTCGGCACGGCTCGGCTCGACTCGGCCCGCCTCGGCCCGGCTCAGCTTGACTCACGCGCCTTTGACTCGGCTCGCAAGCCACACCGCCCGACCCTTAAATGACATGCAAATTAATAAGGACGGTCCTTTGTCGCTGTGGCGCGCCATGGCGTGGCGGCGAGCGGGGCTGTAGGCTGCAGCCAACGTGCCTACACAAATAAAAACATTTTCTGGCAGGGAAGACTTGCATTCGGAACTGGGTCAGTTTGTCCTCCGCCTTGTCCAAATGTCCAAACGGAAGGGCTGGCCGGTGCGGTGCGGTGCGGTGCGTGGCGTGGCGTGGCGTGGCGTGGCGGGGCGGGGCGGGGGGGGGGGGGGGGGCGGGGCGGGGCGCACCCAACGCGGTGCGGCCTTGAAAGAGGCCATTTCTTATGAATGACCGGGACCAAGTCAAGCTCCACCCCTCCGCAGACCCCCGCCCCGCCCCACCCCACCCCACCCGACCCCGCCCCGCCCCGCTCACCGCAGACTCCGACCCATAATTCGCCAGTGGAGATGCATTCTATAGGAATAAACAAGGCCCGGGATCAATACTTTGGAGGGTGCTGTGTGCGTGAATGTGCCCGCGCGGTCCCGCCCCGCCCCGCCGCGCCGCGCCGCACCCCGCCCCGCTCCGCCCGGCCGACCGTGAGAATTTAAATTAGGAACGCGCGACTGCCTATTATGGCCAGTGGCACAGCGATTTGCTGGTGTCGGCTTGCAGTCCTCGGCGGCGCGGCCGGCATGGCGGCCGGCATGGTCACGACGGGGACGCGCTGCCGAGCCGCGCCGAGCCGGTGATGTGTTTGAATCATTGGTGATGGCGGCGATGATGGGCGCGGTGGGTGTCGCGATGGGGCACCCCGCCCCGCCCCGCCCCGCCCCGCCCCGCCAGAGCGGGCCATTTTCCGGGACGCGAAATGTGGGTCGCCGGGAACGCCGGCATGGAATTCGGCAATGCACAAAAAGGCGTCTCGGCTGCAACCGCTCCGCCATAAGGCAGGCAACGCCAAGGAGACACCGAAGCCCCGCGGTCCTGGTGGCCCGCCTTCTTTAACAGTCGTCGTCGTCCTGGTCGTCGTCGTCCTGGTCGTCGTCGGCCACCTCGTCCTCGTCATCCTCGCACAGTGGGCCAGAATACCGGTGGAGGCGGGCTGAAACTCTAGACGCGTTTTGAGCTCCAGAGTCGCTAAAGGGGACTCGAACCGAACGTGTAACCCACCATTTGCTGTCCGAACGAGGAATCCATCGGTGGGGTCACACGTTCGGTTCGAGTCCTCTTTAGCGACTCTGGAGCTCAAAACGCGTGTTGAGTTTTGTCCGGCTGCGCTGGTCTTCTGGCCCACTGTGCCTCGTCGTCCTCGTCTTCGTCGTCTCCTTCCGCCTCCTCCTCGTCCTGCTCCGGCGACATCTTTACGCACCGACCCCTTCTCCGCCAGGAATGTGAAAGAGCAGCGGAAGATGGAAATAGGGCAGAATGTGTGTTCCTTGATAGCGCCGTGCAGGTAGGCAACATTTTGATAGTCGCGCTCCGCTCTGAGGCGTGTTGCCTATCCCGATGTTCGCAGGCGCCTTAGCCGTCGCCGAGACAGAGAGGGGGGGGGGCGCGAATGGTGAGGGAGGGAGAGGGAGAGAGGGAGAGGGAGAGGGGGAGAGAGAAAGAAAGAGAGAGGTAAACAGGAAGGAGACGAAAGGTTACAAGGAAACATCTCGGAGGCAGGTTGTGCTGTGTCAAGTCAAGTCTCCCGGTTGCCCCGTACCTTTTCTGCCGAGCGCCATGCACTCACGCACACACACGTGCGTGCGCGCGCGCACACACACACACTCACACTCACACACACACACACGAAACCATGTTCACCGCCACCAGTTTCCGTCGGAACGCGCGCCCCGTGCGTCGGGAGAAGGAATTAGATGAAAATAAAGTGCTGGTAGAGTTCGGAACTACTACCAAGAGTATAGTCTCTGCTGCTCTCGCTCTCTCTCTCTAACTCGTCCGGTCTTCCTCTCCTCTCTCTCGTCTCTGTGTCTGTCTGTCGTCGTCTGGTGTGTGTCTGTGTGTGTGTGTGGTGTGTGTGTGTGTGTGTGTGTGTGGTGTGTAGCGTGCGCAATGGCATCCTCGACAGTGGGCCAGAGACCGGGAGGCGGCTGAAACTCTAGACGCGTTTGAGCTCCAGAGTCGCTAAATGGGACTCGAACCGAACGTGTGGCCCCAATGATTGCTCTCCGAACGAGGAATCCATTGTGGGGTCACACGTTAGTTCGAGTCCCATTCAGCGACTCTGGAGCTCAGAACGCATCTTGAGTTTTGTCCGCCTGCGCTGATCTTCTGGCCCACTGTGCCTCGTCGTCTTCGTCGTCCCTTCCTCTTCCTCTCCTCCTCCTCCTCCTCCTCCTCGTCTTCGTCCTGCTCCGGCGACATCTTTACGCACCGACCCCTTCTTCGCCAGGAATGTGAAAGAGCAGCGGAAGATGGAAATAGGGCAGAATGTGTGTTCCTTGATAGCGCCGTGCAGGTAGGCAACATTTTGAGAGTCGCGCTCCGCTCTGAGGCGTGTTGCCTATCCCGATGTTCGCAGGCGCCTTAGCTGTCGCCGAGACAGAGAGGGGGGGGGGACGCGAATGGTGAGGGAGGGAGAGGGAGAGAGAAAAAAAGAGAGAGGTAAACAGGAAGGAGACGAAAGGTTACCAGGAAACATCTCGGAGGCAGGTTGTGCTGTGTCAAGTCAAGTCTCCCCGAGGGGTACCTCACTTCGAAAACAGGTGTACACTGACTGGTGACTATACTCGATCCACTTTGACTAGACTGAAAATATCACGAAATGCGTTGCAAAATACTAAATTGGGACAAAGTTACGTGGTTTTGTCGACTTTTCAGTGACTAGACTGAAACAAGGCAGTGACTGGAGTCAGGGGTGTACACTGACTAGACGAAGTGAGGTACCCCTCGAGTCTCCCGGTTGCCCCGTCCCTTTTCTGCCGAGCGCCATGCACTCACGCACACACACGTGCGTGCGCGCACACACACACACACACACACACACACACACACACACGAAACCATATTCACCGCCAACAACAGTTTCACGTCGGGAACGCAGCGCCACCGCGCGTCGGGAGAAGGAATTAGATGAAAATAAAGTGCCGGTAGAGTTCGGAACTACTACCAAAGAAGAGTATGGTCTCTCTCTCTCTCTCTCGCTGTGTGTGTGTGTGTGTGTGCGCGCGCGCGCGCGCGCGTGTGCGTGTGTGAGAGAGAGAGAGAGTAAGCGTGCGCAAAGATGCCGTAGAACTCTGGAAATCGCGACGTCCTGTCGACTCAGGACGACCTTTTTGACGCCAATCTAAGTTGGTTAATGATTTACTCAAGGCAGTGCATGTGCACGTCAGGAGAATGGGGGGAAACCAGCACATTGACGGAGTTTTAGCTTCCAACAACCTCAGAGCGGTCTTTATGAGTAGGCGGGAATTCCCACGATGCACTAGTTTCGAAAGGGTTGGCAACCTCAGCCAGCCTTTTAGGCACACGGTAAAAACGGAACCTGGTTTTCTCAGGAAGCCAACGGTGAAAGCATAGGCGATTTCCAGGAGGTTCCTGGGAAAACCAGGAGCCGTTTTTACCGTGCAAACTCTAGAGAGAGTGGCCACCCAGGCATTGCCCGGTCAGCAGACTGAGGTTGTCAAACCCTTTCTACACTGGTGCACTGGTGCATCGTGGAAGATCTTTGACTACGTATGAGGCAAAACTGCCTCAGCGTGGCAGCGACGGCCACCCTGTGGTCCCGATTCTGCACTCTAAATGTTGTACAGTGAAGATTCTCCATATTATGGTGAGAATGTTTCATATTATGGTGGTGCAGCTGATTCCATAACACACCATGCAGAATTCACTGTAACTTGTAGATATTTTGACGAATTTCGTTGGTATTATGGGGAAAATCTCTACCATAATATGCTGGTGCAG